TATATCCATATGCAAGCGAAAAAAATTAATATATTTTACAGGTTGATAGTGTCGGATTTTGTATAGGTGTTTGGGAGTGAATTACTTTCCCCACGCCGCTTTGAAGGCTGGACGGGCGTCCCATTAAACATTTACTAAGTCATTCTTCTCTTCTTCCCTCACTCTCTTACAAATTAAATTTTAATATTCAAGGATGAAATTTTTGGATAAAAAAGCATTTTTTCAAAATATATATTATAAACAAGGCTTTAAAACAAAAAATTATGATTTTTTCTTTTTTTTTTTGTCTGGTTTATTTCTGGTTTATTTTTGTTTCATTTTTGGCTTGTGCCCGAAAAAAAACCTGGCAACCCTGTTTTGTACTCAACAAAATACTATTTTTTTAATAGTATTTCTTAATATGCTTTATTAAAAAAAAAATGTAAATTATATATGAAAACATTTCACTATAACATATATTGCTTTATACTGATATATTTTATACTGATACTATGCTGTTATATATTTGATGCGCGATTTAATGATCAAAGGTTATTCATATCTTTAAAACTTTATTAAAGCATGCAATCGTTAAATTTAGAACGATGAATTTCGTTTTAAAACTTGTCACTAACACATTTTTAATGTATTTTTTTTCGCTTAATTACATTAAGTAGTTATAATAATAATTAAAAACATCAACAAACGAGTCAAAATCTTTCTATTAATTGAATTATCATTAAAACATTTTTAAAAAACGAAAAAAAAGTCTGCGCAACAATCTACCAAATTCTTCTGCATCGTTTCTTTCAATCGCTAAAGCATCTGAATCTAGCAAAACTACTATTTGTATGGTCATAAAAGAATACAAGAACTCTCTATCTATTGAACGAGCAAAAGGATCTGGAAGAAAGAGTGTCTTTAAGGATGAGAAGCAGCAATTAGTATTCGACAATCATCAATCAAAATCCCGGCTTATCGAACAAGCCAAAAGGTATAAAGTTGTAAAATACACTGTGCAGAAGGTGATGTCGTCAATTAGCGTAAATGTTTGCAATTTGAAGTAATGAAAAATATTAAAATAAAAAGCACTTTTATAATCTTCAAGTTCCTTAGATTAAAATAAATATTGAAGTTTTTGTATTAGTTAAACTATTTTTTGTTTGTTTTTTTTTGAGTTTTTTATCGTTTTGAATTTAACGATAGCATGTTTTACCCAGTAGGCACGGGACATACAAAAGAGGTCTTTTAAACGTCTTTTGAAAGTTTTGTATGCCTTTTGAACATTTTGGACGTCTTTGGGACGATTTGGAATTAAAATTTGGACTAAAAAATCTAGTTTTGGGTAAATAATATATAGAATTAAATTTTATTAACCTAAAACATTTTTCTTTTCAAATGTAATATCCGGTAGTAGAGTAGTGATAGTAATACAATAACCGTGTAATCATAAGAGTTGGTTAAAAATTAATTGTTGTAATTGGTATGTTTTGGGTTGGCAAATGTGATCAAAAAAATGTCTAAAACTTGCGATTTTTGTTCATAAAGTTTGGAAGCCGGAACCGAGCCGGAGCCGATTATTTCTTAGTAGCGGAAGCCGGAGCCGAGCCGTAAAAAAAAAACAGTCGGCTCCACAACCCTGCTTTATACTATTCCAAAAATGCTAAGAGATGACTAGATTATAATTTGCAAATAACTTACAAATGCATTTCTTCAAGAATTTTATGTTGTATTCTAGTATCTTTACAAACATTAGTGTATTTTCCAAACATTACATATCGTGTATTTACAAATATTATATATATATATGGTATATTTTGTAAACATATATAGTGTATTTTACAAAAAGGGTGCTCAGTGTTCTTAAAGAACAGAGCAGTAATAAATTATTTAAAAAAACATTTATCCAACTTGAACTTCTACCGTCAGTTTCTCCTTTGGCAAAATCATCAGGAAAAAGAAGTCTCTGACAAGGATTAAACAAATCTAGTCATTTTTTGTTACAAGACTCCTATTGAAAAAGAAAAAAAGATTTTAGATCAACAAAAACCAAATCATTTGGGTTTGAGTCTAAGGTAACAGGCAATCTGGGCTTGAGTTCAAATATCATGCTTTTTAAGCACTACCAAAAATTGTAAAAGTAGAGATTCTGCAATGATAAAAATGGGGTCTCTCAAAGGCCCTGCGCGCACTTTTTTATATTTCATTTACCATAGGGGCAAATGGAGCAAATTGATCCAAGCGCTTTTTTTGATTTTTTTTTTTTTGTTTTTTGTTTTTTACAATAAATAAAAAACATTTTTATGATTGTTAATTTGAAATCTGTTTAGCTTTTGTATTTGAGATTTAAACTTTAGTATTCGGATGTTCGGAGTAAAAATGAAAAAATAACTTGAATTTTAAATTCTATTATTATAATTTTGTAAGAAAAAAATAGGATTTAGTTGTAATTGAATTTGACGGAACTGAGCGTATTATTCAACAGTTACCATGTCAGTTCGTGTTCGATAGCATGGAAGATGATACGCTGTGGTAATTATATGGTAATTGATCAGTCGACACTGACTCATTAAAGCAGTCAACACTGATAGCATTGAAAACTTTGTTAGAAAGTGCGTTAAATATATACCAAATTTCTCACCCATCAATCACGTTGAACACACGACAAGTTTCTCTCAAGTCAATATGTGTAGTTTACTGCACAAAATATGTGCGATTCAAAGAAATGTGGATCAGTGGAAGCCTCAAACAATTCCCCTGAAGCTGAGTTGAATGAATTTCAAAAAGACTCATCAGAGTCATAAGAAGGAACTTTATCTAAAAGCAAAAAATGTGATGTTTAACCTGATTTAGTAATAATTAATGCTAACTCCTCTTTGAGGTCAGTTGTTTTGAGTCAAAAAGATCAAGATACAATTATTTTAAAGGGGCCCCCAGCACGAAAGCAGTTTTCAAAAGCGGTCATTGTCACTTCTTCGTTGGAACTGAGGAGCTAAGAATCAATTGAGGTAACTAATAAATCATGTGAAGCAGCATCAATCCAACGTATTGCACCAAAAGTTCTTCATGGATCGAAAAAAAGCATACATTAGTCTTACCAGCTCATTCGTAAATAATCAGAGCTCCAGAAGTAAATAAACTCTGATAGAGCAAAATGGAGGACAATTATTCGGAGAATTTTAAATGTGACTCTTTTCTTGGATTCTAGAAACTGAGCTTTTCTAGTTAATTCATTACAAAGTTCTCTTTTATTTTATAAATATTTTAATTATTTATATAACTGTTGTAATAACTTAGTTAAAATTACTATATACTACTATGTTTGCAGGTGAAACAACCCACGTGAATGGAAAGGAGAATGGAAACTTTCTTGCTGGTATGAAGCTTATTGGTCGCCACAATCCCGTTATTAAATTCCACTTGAAAAATCTAAGACGTCATCAACATGAGGGCTCCGGAATGACGTCATCAACATGAGGGCTCCGGAATGACGTCATCAACATGAGGGCTCCGGAATGAGTGCTCTTATTTCTCTCCGTCGTCTCAAAATGATTTCATTAGAAAATATGGTGATGTCATCCAAAGTGCAGCTGTCGAAGAAATCTAGGATAGTTTCTACTTCACAATAGTTAGTGGTAGCCTCCTTATTTCTCAAACTTAGCAGATAACTATTGTTATTTTTTTTCTCCTCTATGAAATAGAAAATAATTGCTGGCAAATCAAATAACGATTCTTGAGTGTTAAAGCTTTCAAGATGAAGAAAGGAGTTGATTTAGCTAAGTTTATTACTGATGTGATTTCAAGACAAGATATGAATATTTAAAACTGCCACGATCAGTGACACGATAACGGATCCAAAATGTCAGGCGCTTATAAGGAAAGCTCAAACCTTAGAAAAGCAAAGTTATTTGTACTTTCCCTATAGCGCTCACAGTCTGAGTTTGGTTAGTGTGCACTTAGTTGAACCAGCCATTAAGATCAAAGTATTTTTTTAATATGTCAAATTTTGTTACGTATTTTTTAGTAGTTACTTATAAATGATCATCACTGAGGCACCAGGAATTTTACAGCATAGATTTTCTGAGACAAAACTGATCTCACTACTAAAAGAAAGCGTAAACTAAAGCGCTTTTATGATGAGGCATCAAACACAGTCTATATCCACGACAGCCAAACAAAAGAATTCAAATCAAAGGTTTTTAATGTAATGTGGTAGATAGTCTTATCCAGCAGATTGATTCAAGATTTGAGGGAAGCAGGATGATTAACATTTTAACACAATACGTTTTCATTGGTCTAGATGAATAATGATGATCTTTCCGTTTAAAACAAAGCTTGAGAACTTGCACGGTTTTATCTTAGAGATTTGAACAAAGAGAATCTCATTGAAGAAGCTGTTGCCCAAAAACAACGACCGCAAAACAACTTTCAAACAAGGAAATCAGCAACAAGGAAAACAGCTACTCGATCAAATCTTGAGAAGAAGCTTGAACGTTTTTTTCCATATATTTGCATAATACTCCGGATTTTCAAGACTACTCCTGAGTCAGTTGCTGAGGGTGAACGATCATTTAGTAAACTAAAAATTGTAAAAAACTCTCTCTGTTTGACCATCGGCCAGGATCGTGTTACTGATATCTGATTATATTAATTGAAGAAGATTTGGCTTAAAAGATGAGCAACGACGATGTTATCATTCTTGGGCGGCCAGAAAGATTTTTGAAGAAACAAGATTTTGTTGATTGATTTTTTTGTTTTTTAGTTTTAAAACTAGTATTTTGATTCATATGCCAGTTTTGATTAACTAACCGTTTCTTAATCCACAGAGTTAGTAGTATAACAATACGCTGTAATAGAAATAAATAGTTGAAAATTAATTTCTTGGTTTAAAATAAAGGCGCCGTTCTCCATTTTTGACCCGGGCACATTTGGAGCTCTCGAAGGCCCTGAGTGCGCGCAATAGAGTTAAAATAAAGGCTCCTACTAAAGAATGACGATTTTGCTTTGCGTTTAAGGCATAGCGTTCTCTACTACAGGCCTATTCATCGCGCAACCGGATTTTTTTGTGGAGGCCTACTTTTTTACGGCGAAAAAATTATTTTTCCACGTTCAGACAAGATACAATGTCATGTCGTTTATGACAAACATTTAAATAATGGAATATAATACAATGTTAATAAACTTATATAATTTAAACATGGAGTTGCAGATATAATTTAAAGCAAATAATATATTTATAAAATTTAGATTAAATCATCATGCCAAATAAATGTTGTGTGTATGCTTGTCACACCAACTATCAAAGTGAAAAAAACAAAATATCTAGTGAAGTTAATAAAATATCAGTGTATCGGTTTCCAAGTGATAACGTTGAACGTGAAAAATGGATAAAAGCTATTCCAAACTCTAATTTGGTTGTTACCAAGTATACTGTTATCTGTGAGTTACACTGGCCTCCAAATTTTGATACAGTTATAGTGCGTGGAGGAAAACGTCGACCAAAAAATCCTCCTTCTGTTTGGCTAGGAATACCTTTATCTCAAATTCCAACTGGTTATCCAACTGAAAGATCTACCAAAAGATCTTTAAGTGGCATTAGAAGTATAATAGATGATGAGCTAGATACATTTCTTAAAAGGGATAAAGCTACTTTTTGTGACATTAAAAACAAGTTTATTGATAGCAGTGATCACCAATATCCAGTTATATCGTTTATGGTTGATGGCTATGTTGTTATACAATCTTTGCAATTTTTTAATGGAATACCTTTTTTTGTACTTAAAATTTATGAAAATCTTACCTTTGAAACATTTCATTATGGGATTAAGTGTCACATTTCTAGCTTAACAGTAAATCGAATCTTAACTGTTGACTCCTGGTCTAAGTTTGATGAGATACTTCGTTTTTTAGGCTCTTTAAAAATTGATCATAAAAAAGAAGTAATTATGCAACATGTTTCAGTTATGGGACCAAAATTAGTTGGAGATAAACTTTATACACCTGAAATACTTATACGCTCTTTTGTATATTTCTTAACATCAAGGGCATTATATAATCGCTTAAGAAATGATTATCAACTTCCATCTATTTCAACACTGACTCGAGTTACTTCAAAAATTTCTAATATTAATGAAAACAAATTTATTTATTCAATTTTTAACTCTCTTCCGGATAAGCAGAAATTATGTATCATACTACATGATGAAATATATGTTAAAAAAAGTTTGCTTTACCATGGTGGAACTATTTTTGGTAGATCGGAGGATAACCCAGTGGAATTGTCCAAAACATTGTTAGGGATTATGGCTGTTTGTTTAAATGGGGGTCCAAAGGTGTTAATTAAAATGATACCAATATCAAAATTACGATCTGAATTTTTGTTTGAACAGATTAATTTAACTAGTCAAATAATTGATTCAGTCAGTACAAATGTAAAAGCTATTATATGTGATGGGAATCGTGTCAATCAGGTTTTTTTTAAAATGTACACATTCATTCCGGGAAAACCATGGTTAACAGTAGATGGAAAGTATTTACTTTATGATTTTGTACACCTCATAAAAAATATTCGTAATCTTTGGTTAACTGAAAAAACTCAGGAATTAATATTTGACGATAACAGAGTAACCAGGATTGCAAAATGGACTCATTTAAAGCAGCTTTACAATGCAGAATCCAGAAGCTTTCTAAAGTTATCTGACCTGAATGAAACTTCTATTTCTCCTAAACCTGTTGAACGACAGTGTGTATTAACAGTTTTAAGAGTATTTTCAGAAAAAACTTATGCTGCTCTTTTGCAACATCCTGACATGATTCATATTGATGTTAACGACACTTCTATATTTATTAATAAAGTTATTATTTGGTGGAAAATTTTAAATATCAAAGCCATTGGTGCTGATACAAGGCATAATGATCCTTTGCAGGCTGTCATCAACAATCCTAATGACAATCGTTTAAATTTAATACTACAATTTGGTGATATGGCACTTAAAATGGCAGGTCCCAAAGGTAAGCGTATTAAACAGCTTTCTAAAGATACTGCAACTTGTATACATCAAACTTGTTATGGACTAGTAGATTTATGTAGATATTTACTTAACACTACGCAAAACTATGTACTTCTTGGTCAATTTACTTCAGATCACCTGGAAAAAGAATATAGTATACTTCGTCAAGGTTCTGGTGGTACATATTTTCTTAGTGTTCAACAAGTTATTGAAAAATTACGTATCAAACATGCATCTTTACTTTTGAAGTTAAATGTAGATATTGACAATTTTAATGTGAAGTCTGGTCATCAATGTGCGTTATGTGATTACAAATTGTCTGAAGACTGCTGCGAAATTCTTGATAACTTGCAAGATCTAGAATCTTCTATTGCTGATGATGTTAAAATGTCACTTATTCACATTGCTGGTTATGTTACACGAAATGATAAAGAACAAACTGATTATGAACTTTTAGATCAAACAACGTTCTATTATCAGAAATATGGTCAGTTTTCTAAATTTTTGGATCGTGGTGGATTAAAAATTCCAACTGATAATTCATGCCAATGGACATTTTTTTGTTTTGTAGTTTTTCAAATAGTTAAAGATCATGTATGCCGAAAATCTTTAAGTAGTATTTTTATGATTATATCAGACTATTATTTATTGGATATGGAAGAACATCATTGTGTAATATTGAGCAACATTTTTTTAAAAAATTTATGTACCACTGTCACTTCAAGATCTGGCAAAGAACCTGCACTAAAGTTATTAAAAATCTCTTAAAAGTCTACTTAGTTGTCTACTGTTTATAATATATTCAGTATACTTTTTTATAAAAGATTTATAAAAGTTTCATATATTAGTTGTTGTTTTTTTCAGATTTTGTTAACAATTTTAATCAAAATTTATCTAATATTTTAACATATTTACTCAATATAAGAAAATATCAATTTTGTATTTAGCTGTTAAAGCCAAAACTAAAGGTGAAATAATATAATTATGTAAATGTGTGAAATTTGAAAAAATTTCTTTGCCTTTTATTTACATTGTTTATTACTTAATATTAATTTTCTTTTTTCATCAAAAAAAATTATTAGGCTATACAGAAAATTAAAATTACTTTTTAGTTTTAAAATTACGAAGTTATTATCTTTTTTGCCGTAAAAAAGTAGGCCTCCACAAAAAAATCCGGTTGCGCGATGAATAGGCCTGTAGTAGAGAACGCTATGGTTTAAGGCGACAAAGGGCTTAAAGTCTTAAAGTGCGGTGCGCTTTTCAAACATACCCAACGATTTGTAAACAACGTCTCGATATTTCTCTTGAAATTTTCTTGGATTGTTGAAGCTTGTGTTATTTTTTTTTTAATAATAATTTTAACCTTAAAAAACTGTCCATTTATGAGTTATTCGGACAAAAATAAATTTAAACGAAACGAAAATTTTTCTTTATAACATATCATTTAATTTTTTTATTTTTAAGTTTAATGTTTTCTTTTAAAAGATAAATAAATAAAAAATATTTTTCTGCATTAACCCAATATTATATTAGGATATGGCTAAAGCAGATTGTTAAACGCGTAGGACACTTAAATCAATCAGCATTGGTTGCGAAAATGAAAGTAACAAAATTCTCAAAGGCTTTTTTTAATTAATAACACAGAATCTATAACACAGAAAGTATTTTGTTTTTAAGTAGAAACATACTTATCAAAATATACTAATGATAATAGTTGAAAAAAGTGATTGAATCTTTATTTTATACATTTATATTTTTCAAATTATTTGTAAAGTTTAGAAAAAATATTGCCTGTTCACTAAACAAGCTAACAAATTACAATATATTATATATACTATTATATAATATATACACAAAACATTGCCTGTTCACCAAACAAGCTAACAAGTTACAATATATATACTATTATATATTATTTATACAAAACATTGCCTGTTCATCAAAACAAGTTAACAAATTACGATATATTATATATATTATATATTATTTATACAAAATATTGCCTGTTCATCAAATTAGCCTACAAGTTATTTATTATATATACTATTTCATAACCAGGATTGAAAGTGAACCTTAATTAAACAAAGAATTTAAAAATACCATAACAGAATAAAGTATAACAAAAATATTATAAAGAAACAATCTAAAACATAAGAAAAATACTATAAACAAAGCAAAAATGTCATCAATAAGACTCAGTATGATAAACATTACCAAATTACCATGAACAATATGGTAAGCGAAAGATACTATTGCTCAAAATGAGATTTTTATTTTTCAAAAAAATGGAGACCAGATATCATATTGATTTATGGAGAAATGTAAGAAAGTGCTGCTACATCGACTGATTTATACTTGCCCTAACCCAAACCCTCAACCAATGTAGCAGCATTCACTTGCATATTTTACCTAAATCAGTTAATGTAGTAGCACTCTCTTACATTACTTCCTAAATAAGTATGATATCTGATCTCCATTTTTTGAAAAATCAAAACCTTACTTTGAGTCATAGTATCTTTCACTTACCAAACAATGTATATAGAGCACAGTAAAAATACCATCATACAATTACACAAATGCCAAGGTTTTTGTTTTTGTTTTTTTTGTTGGTAATTCACCTTCCCAAGGTCGAGAAGCCACTACAGATGAGGAGGCTACTTGTGGTTATAACCCTCTTTTAACTCTATAACTCCGAAACATGAATCTTGACAAACAAGTCTGCTGCGCGGAGAAACAAGTTGATAAAAACAATTACAAGATACAAGTAACAAGATACATACAGTTACACATATACCAAGATAAACAAGACATAATGAAAAAATTAGAGTAAGCATTAAAAAAATATGCATTAAAAATCCCCCAATTAATAAGCATACCAAAAAATCCTTAAAAGAGAAAAAGTAATAAACAGATTTTTATAGTTACAAATGCTGAAGATAACATGATGTTAAAAAATAGTGAATTGATACAAAGTTTTGTGGAGAAGAAAGTGACCTGGAATGTCTCTAAAATTTATATATTAGTTTACAATATAAGTGAAAAGTGTTTTCAAACGTTATGAAATTTTGTTATGAAATTTTTTACTTTACAACAGTTAAGGCAAATTTTTAATGATTAAAATTAAATATGTAAAAATAATCAAAAAATCAAAACTAGATCACTATATTTCTAGATTAACTCCATGCAATATAAAGGAGTAAGTAAATGATGATGAAAACATGAAACAAACACGAAAGTTAAAACTTTGTTTTTGTTTAACTCGAAGGTATTTATATTTATAATGTTTATCTTTAGAAATTTTAGCTGGATATTCAAAAATTTTAAAGTAGTGTTTTTTATATAAGGAAAATTTTTATATTAGAGGGGATTTAAAATTTTTTTTTTCTAAACCTTTTAGGAGAAAAAGGTCTTTAAAATAAATGTGATAGCTAAATATAATGTTTTATGAGTTAGAAGTGAATTTTAAAAATTCCTTATAATTGTATCTACTACAAATTATGATAAAAATATTTACTACATAATTTTGTTAATATTATGATATTGTTAATATTATGGTTTATTTTTAACAAATATTAAATATTTTTTTCATTTATTTAATTTAACAGAAAAATTTATGAACAGTACCCCTAGCTGTTTCATCATTTAAAATCTTGACTTTTCACTCATCCAACCTTGTCTTTTCTGCAATTTCTTTTTTCTATACTTTTTAATGCTTGCTTTACAGATTAGTTGTTTGAATATTTTTTAACATTGTTTCATCATCATTTTTTAAATTATCAGTATTATACTATTACTGTATTGACTTCACTTTATTTGAAGCATTATTACTTTAAAGTATATCTTTGCAATAGTTCCACAACATTGCTAACTAAACTGCCTCTATTACACAGAGTCATAGCTAGGTTTAAACTCTTAATTGGGGTGGGAGTAGGAGGGTGGGGTTGCAGCAAATTTAGGTGGCCTTTTCTGCAAATTTAAGCAGCATTTTTTTTTGTTTTCGTTATATCTGGTGGACCCTTATGGCAGATTTAGGGAATGATGGGGAAGCTTCCAACCCACAAGCCATAGCACTGATTGCATGTCCAAATATCCTAAGGGCATAAAAAAATTTTGTACTGTGTATTTGTTTTGCATTTTTTTAAATTATCATAATTTTCATATTAAATGTATTAATGTATAATTTTCATATTAAATGTGTTAAGTATGTATAATTTTATAAAAATAAAAAGTATTTATAGTTATTCATAAGCGAAAAATTGCATTAAGAATAATTGAGATTTATAATTAAGTATCATTTGTAAAATATGTGTGGAATATTGTATTGATAATCTTATATTAAAGTTAATGTTAAATATTGTATTGATAATCTTGTATTAAAATTAATGTTCAGGAAATATGAAAAAACTAACAAACTTTTTTTTATAAAAAAAAAAAAAAATTAAATGACTCTTTTGAAATTCCATAGTTTGATATTCTTTAAGATACAAAATCAAGTTTACCAATTCAAGTCTTAGCTTAGCTTCTATAAAAACAACATTTTAAATTAAAATTTAAATGTTTCAACAAAATATTATACAAAACATTAAATATCCATTAATAAAATTTCTCATATTATTTTAATATATGATTATCAATTATTCCATACGAATATTGCACATGTTTATTCTTAATTAAAATTTTTTTAATTTGAATTATTCTTAATAAAATTTTTTATTTATATTTATGTTTTTATTTTATATAACACCTTTTATACATAAAAAATTTAGTTGCAAAACTAATAAGATTTTAGATAATATTAAGCAATAGTTTTTAATTTTTTAATGTGTTAACTTATTTTTTAACTGAGATAAAACTACTTCAACTATAAAAACCTAATTTTTAAAATATGATCCTCATAAAAAATAAATTTAGAATTTAAGTAATATTTAAACAATTTTAACTCTGAGAAACTTAAGTAATATTTAAACTGTTTAATATTACTTAAACTCTAAATTTAGAGTTTAAGCATTATTAAACAATTTTTAACTCTGAAACTAATTTAAAATATAAAAATAATTTTTCTTTAATCCTTTAGTATCCTTAAACATTATAGGAAATTAAAAATGTTTTAATTAATTTTTTTTTTCAATTTATAATTACACAAGTCATTAACTTATGATTAACTTTTAATTAGCTCTCACATCTTTGCAATTGATCACAACTTTTACCTTTATACAACTATCTATCAACTAACAATCTTTCAAATTTTAATTAAATGAGAATATTGTTTTCATCTTTTATTTGTTAATTTAATTATGTTATTATTTTTTATAATTATATTTTTGTTTTATTTGAAAAATATTTAAATCATCTTTTTTTATATTTTATTTAAAACATCTTATTTTATATTGAATGTAATAAGTATTTAATTATAATAAAAATTTATTTTGTTCAAGTTAATAAATATTAATCTTTATTATTTTAACTATTATTAATTTTTAAATTTTTGTTGTGAAAGAGTTATGCCTCTACAATTGCTGAGGTAGCATCTGCTTGCTTTAATCAATACCAAATCTTTTTGATCATTTGATTTAAATAGAAAGAAAATGAATAAAGATTTTTAATTAGGTTTATCTAGATTAATGCCAGCATAGTGCAACTTGCCATATTAATGTAGAAAGAGCAATATTCTCATAAATCATAGCTTTTTTGTATGACTACTCTGTACTGAAAAAAAATTACTTAAATAACTATATTCAAATAGTTTTTTTATGAAACAAAATAAATTATGTTAAAACATTTCTTGTGCAATAAAAAAGAAAATGTTTTTTTTGAAATAGTTTTAATGTTTTTTAAATATTAAAATTAGTTGCTTATTAACCATATGAAATATCTTGTTTTCTAAGATGTTACCATGTTGTATATTTGAAGTTTTCTATCAAAACTCTAAATATTGTTTATTTATCCATGAACTCAAATATATAAAATTTATACGCAATTTAATTTTAAGATTCTATTATTAGTTAACTTCTTCAGTTATTATTTTTTCTTAATAGAATAAGATTTTTTTGAAAAAAATCTCAATTAATAATAATAGTCATAAATTTTATTTATTTTTAATGTTCATTGATAACAGCAGGTTTGCTCAGAATGTTAGATGGCTTGAAAGAAGAAATAATGCCTAAAAAGTTAGAAGAAGAAAGTGGCAGTGATTCATCAGCTCCTTCATCTCCAGTATCACACTTGTATAAGGTAAATAGGTTTAAATGCAAATAAAAATATTTCTCGACTATGACAGTTCTATGTTGAAAAAAATTAGTTCAAGCTTATTAGAATGAATATTGTTCTATCAAAATTATATTTTGTTGTTTGTTACAATTGTTTTTTTTTTTTTTAATTTTATTATTCTTTGTATTTTTTTATCTTTTATGAAAAAATCATATGGATATAAATGCTATCGTAGATATATATGTATATATATTAACCTTCGGAATTAGTTTCGACATTCAGCAATGCCAACCTAACTGCCAACCTAAAAGTGTTTGAGGTGGGCAAAAAATTGTTGACCTTAAAATTTAAATTAAATTAATTATTAAATATTAATAAATTTAAATTAGTTTATATAATTTTTTTTTTTCATTTAAAAAAATTTTAAAATTTCCAAACATGTTAAAAAATATTCTTTGTATCAAATTTATTTTTATTTATTTTTTTTATGTTCCCTTTATATTCAACTATGTTTATTTATAGTTTTATTTTTTTATTAATTAATTAATTAATTATTATTTATAGTTTCAAATTAATAAACTTTATTTATCTTGTTACAAAAATACTAATATACAAAAGTGCTTGATGCTTATAACTGTAAATGAATGCATTGCTGGATAATTATAATCAAGCCTGTAGATAATTTGCATAATCAAGCCTGTAGACATAATCTGCATAATCAAGCCTGTAGACAAAATTAATTTACATAATTTTTTTAGTAAACTTAACTTTAGTTTTGAAATTGCTTTTTAACAAATTTTTTTCATTATCACTAAGTTTTTAGATTGATCTTTTATTGAACAATGATTTGAAATGGTTAACTAGTTTATAAGTAGTAGATAAAGATTTTAATTTAAGCCAAAATATTAAAAAAAAAGTTTATAGATTTTTTTTACCGTTACAAAGTTCACTCTTAAACAATTGCCCTCTCTTTAAAAAAAACAAGCAACTAAATTGAGAGAAAGCAAAGATAAGATGATAAGGTTGTATTATTAATGTATTTATCAAACAAATGGTATAAGTTTAAATAAGTATAATTTTTTTTTAATAAGTAAATAAGTTTTTTTTGAAACAACAAATTTAAATTTTATTGATAATTTTTTTTTAAACAATATTGTTTCATTTTAAAATATTTTATGAAGATAAAGGCTTGAAATGATTCTTAATGTGGTTTTAAATTAATTTAATTATAATGCAATACATAAATATACACAATTGATGTAGTTTAACTCTTAACAATGTAAATATGGGTATTGAATTAAATGAAATTTATTTGTGTGAAATTTTTCTCTTATGCAACAAAATCTCATAATATGGCCTCGATATACATACATACATACATACATACATATATATATATATATATATATATATATATATATATATATATATATATATATATATATATATATATATATATATATATATATATATATATATACAAAATTATTTAAGTCAGGATCTACGCAACTGTATAAACAAAATTATTTAAGTCAGGATCTACGCAACTGCAATAACTTTATGTTTTTTTAAAAATTTGATTCCAAAGAAAAAGAAATATATTTTTAACTCTTTATAACTCATTGCAAAAGTAACTCTATTAAACGAAATTAGCTATCTTACAACTTTTTTGTCCAAAATAAATGCGACATAAGTAAGAAACATCTTTTTTTATTATGAGTTTTTATTATGAAATATAATGTTTTGTCAGTAATATATATTAAAAATACAAGAATATCATGTCTGATTTTCATTTTAGTACTTTGTTGCACCACCTTTTGCTTTCACGATTGCTTCTAAACGTCTTGGCATGCTTTTTACAAGCTTTGACGTGACGTCAGTACCAATTGAATTCCAAGTTTCACTAAGAACCTCAAAAAATTCTTTTTTTTTTGTTCGTTTTGAAGGAGGTATTTTAGATTTTAAAATTGCCCATAAATTTTCAATGGGGTTAAGGTCCGGGCTTTGTGGTGGCCATTTAAGGATGTTTACTTTTTTTGAGGAAATGTTGTGCCACTTTGCTAGTGTGTTTGGGGTCATTGTCTTGTTGAAAAAAGAACTTGCGATCTAAATTCAATTTTTTAGCAGATTGACATAAATATTTGGAAAGCAAATCAACATACAATTGTCCTGTCATTATATCTTCAACATTCACCAGTCTTCCCACACCATTTGAAGCAAAGCATCCCCAAATCATAATTGAGCCACCTCCATGCTTGACAGTTTTTCTAAGATTTCTATCTAAGAGTGCATCACAAGGTCTGCGCCAAACTCTTTGTCGTTTTTTAAAGCCAAATAATTGAAATTTACTCTCATCAGACCATAACACTGAGTTCCAAAATGCCTCATCCTTGTTAATATGCAGTTTTTAGCAAATGCTAAGCATTTTTTTTTGTTTATACCACTAATGAGGGGTTTACTTTTTTGAAGATGGTTTCTTAAAGGGATCCCAAACTCCCAACACATGTTGTGTTCATATTTAAGATAATGTTAAAAAAAAAGGTTTGAACCAAATTTTTTTGATTAAAAATAAATAATGAATGCATACCGTGAAAAACAAATGTTGTTGTTTTTGCCGAAGCTCGTCTTCTCCATTTTTTTCAACTACTCGGAGTCTTCAAATTATGCGTCGCAATCTACAGACTTTGGCAATTCCTTTGAAGCGCGTTTAATTCATAAAAGTTTTAGTATTTGACGTCACGGTAGACTTTTAACAAAAGAAACTCTGGAAATATTTTTATTTATTTTCAGTCGAAGTTTTTTTGATTATTTGTTTTTTTTTTTTCTTCTTTAAATATTTAAAAAGATATTAAAAACCTTAAATATTTTATGCTGGTTCGTTGCTATAAATTGTTATTGCGTCATATATTTAATGTTTATAAATTATGAATATTTATTATCTCAAAAATTGTTTTACATTAATTACCCGTATAAAATTAGTAACAGCTTTTTTATTTGGTTTGACGATATTTCGTTTCAATTTGCTTTGCAAGAAGTTCGGAAAGTCAAACGAAAAAAATTAGTTTGAATAATCACGTCAAAATAAATTTAAAACAAATTATTTTAATGACGGGGGTTCTAAAGTTTTTTATAACAAATGTAGGTAAAAAAATAAATAACTAATTAAAAAGTTCAGTATTAAACACAAAAACAAAGATTTTGTCAAAAAACTTTATACAAATATGACTTACCTGAAATTAGTTAATCATTATTTAATAAATAAACAAAAGTTAAGTTAGTTTTGCACTAAAAAGACGCGAAAAATGGGCAAAAGACATATCACTCAAGATGAAAGATGGAACCAAAAGTAATAGAAAAATCGTCAAGTTAATTGGAGTTTCTGAGAAATGCGTTCGGACAACGAAATAAAACTTTCTTCACACTGGTGGTGCCAGCGAGAAAACGAGGCCAGGTAGACCCTTGTCAACCACCAGAAAAGACGATAGTGTTCATTTTAGAGCTGTCAGAGCTAATCCAAGAATTAGTTACAAAGAATCAACCACAGAATTTAATACAACGCGAAATACATCTATTTCTCAAAGCACAGTCTGCCGAATACTTATCAAATACAAGATTGGAGTCTACACTGCTTTGAAGAAACCGCTTCTGCGTCCATATGATAAACAAAGGAGACTAAAATGGTGTGGTAAAAGAAGGTATTGAACAATAGAACAATAGGAAAACATTATGTGGAGTGATGAGAGTAACTTTGAGCTTATCAATCGCAAATCTAACATAACAGTCAAAAGAATGGCTCATGAAAAGTATTACGCCAGGTACATTAGACCGACTGTACAAAGTGGAGGAGGCTCGATAGGAATCTGGTCATGCTTCAATTATAAAGGTGTTGGTATGTGCCAAACATACACCGGAAGAATCAACTCCAGAATATACATAGAAGTACTGGAAAACAACTTATTTCCATCAATTGACCTGCTTATGCTCAATGATAAACCATGGAAACTTCAACAAGATGGCGCTACTGCACATACTGCATACTATACAAAGGAGTGGTTCAACGATAATAGTATCATGACAATATCGTGGCCTCCATACTCACCTGATTTAAACCCGATTGAAAAGATTTGGGCTTGGATTGACCGTGAATTAGCAAAGGTTCAAATTTCCACACTTACTCAGCTGAAGGAATTCCTTAAGGAGACCTGGTATGGGGTCCTAGAAGCGATGTGCAAAAATTTAGTTGAGTCTATGCCTAGAAGAGTTCTTAGTTGTATTAAAGCAAAAGGCGGATACACAAAATATCGATTGGTTCATAAATTACGCCTTCTAATGTATCGTGCGTCTAAATTTATGAAAAATTTTTTTTGTCTAATTTTTTTAATACCATGTAGTTGTACCTAATTATTACTTAGTATTTCATTTTTTTTGTAAACTTTTTTAAAATTTTGTATTCTGTATGTATTTATCTAATAAATAGAAAAAAAACTAAACCAAAATCTTTTTTCGTCATTGTTTTATCGTTGAAAAACTAAAAATTTCTATTCTCAAATATGAGTGCGTCTAAATTTATGAAAACCACTGTATATATATATATATATATATATATATATATATATATATATATATATATATATATATATATATATATATATATATATATATTATATATATATATATATATATATATATATATATATATATATATATACATATGTATATTGAGGATAGATATATATGTATATATATCGATATATATATATATATCGATATATATATATATATCGATATATATATATATATATATATATATATATATATATATATATATATATATATATATATATATATATATATATATATATATATATATATATATATATATATATATATAGAGAGCTGTTAAGAATCGTTACGCAGCTCGCATTTTACCTGCGAAAAGGCGATTTGCCTACGCGTTCATATATATATATATATATATATATATATATATATATATATATATATATATATACATATGTATATTG